TTTTCATCGAATACGGACTAATTTACAACTAAAAATCATGAAGATTCCCCAATTTTTTCGTAATTTTGAACGATGCTTACCATTTTTATGCTTTAATTAGTATATTAGATAGGAAATAAGAACAACTTAAAGAAATCTACCGCTTTGTAGAATGCAGAGTCGACAAGGTGGTAGTTTGATAAACGCACCACTTTCACATACTTAATATTATTTAATGAAGAAGTGGGCCGTTCTTAGGAGAATAGACGCCAAATTTCTGCCCAAAAGACCAACTTCCCGACTGGGGCGTTAGCAATTGTGATTATGTTCTTACTCGAAATTTCAAGTGACCAAAGCACTGATTTACAGCTAACCCACTCACTGTCCAATCAAGTGGGCTTACTTGTGGAAGCTTTGCCTTATTTTTCATGAAGATCAGTTTATTAAATGCGTCGGATGACTGCTGTAAACAAGACTATTTACTAGTTAAACAGGCACGTCATCGAAAAGTAATATTGTATTAATTTCTCATTTAAACTTTCACTTATTTTATCTTAATTTCCTACTTGAAAAGTGATGCTAATTCTTTTGCACGGAGCTACGTTCACAATATCAGTTGGAGAAGCCACTTTTTCCTTTTTCACCTTGTTTTCTTATGGTATGGCATTAAGGTCACTTCCGCGTGCATAGTCTTTGTTAGTTTTTAATGAATTTCAATCTCCTTCAACTCCCTTCAGCATATCGTTTATACCCTGTAATCACGGTACCAAGTAAACATTTGATTGTTGTGTCTCCTCACTTCCCCTTAATTACAGACATGATTTGGGCGTTTTAAAAGCAATTTTGGAAATCAAATCAAATTTCAGTTTGTTAATTATCCCAAAAAATATAAACTGGGCCAATAAAATGGGCACCAATTTTCAACCTTAATTAAGCCGTCGCAATTTAAAGCTTTGATCGGCTACCGGTTTACCTAACTAAAAAAGGAAATTGTGCGTAATTACTTGGCTGTTGAGTAGATGATAACGCTCTTGAAGCCAAATAAAGGAATTTGTGTTGGCACTGAATCTGCTAAAAATGGCTTTACGATGGTGGCCTTGCATCCTTCGGAATTTGCGACGCCGTCAAATTGTCTACTTCCATTTATTTGAACAATGAGCAAGTCAAGGATTCAACTTCTGTACAAAAAGATAAGTAGATTACTGCGATGTAATCCAATTTTCATGCCAAAGGTTTGCTTGGTTGTTTGGTATGTTACATAATTAAAATTCTTTCAATTTCTCTTTTCTTGGTGTTATATGCTTTAGCAAGCCTTGCATAGTTCGGTCATGGCAACGTTGTTAGGTTGTAAGACTTAGCAAAATTAAACCATTTTTTGCTTGAAATGAATCTGCTGCTAATGATTGGTAATTTTGTTAGCAATGCCTAAATAGGTTTCAATTCTATTTTTTTCAATCAAGCGACCAACTTTTGCCAAAGCTTATATGCATAGCGCCAAACATAGTGTTATTGCAGAATCGTAACGCCACTTTATACATTTGGACTACGTTTTTGCCATTGTTTTGCAAATATCACCATTTGCCTTATAATTTAAAGGCCTTTACGAGTTTGTCGTTTTTTGTTCTAATCACAGGAACTATTTTATATTGTTGAATAGCATTAACTGGTCTCTTGCACGTCAGGTTAATACATACCATGAGAGAGGAAACAACACGCAAAGGCGGATTTCATTATGACGGCAAGATTATATAAAATTAATTCGGAATGCATAAAAATGGTGTTGCACATCCGCACCTCCATCACGCCATTGCAGATATCCCTGAGTGTCTCCACTATTTTTGTCGCCGAAACCATTGTGCTGTCAGGGCCTTCCCTGTTAATACAACAAAATAATCGTATTGTTTTCTTCATTCCTTTCCTCCATGCTCACTACCTTCAATGAAAGGCAGTGTATCCCGTTTTTTCGTTATCATTTACGATAAATCAGTTAACAACTCCTAAAATCAACCTTAAACACAATCAGACTTTCTTTTTGCCATCTGGGTGCTAAATCGAAATAGGTCACCATTGTACGCATTTTTGGAGTTCTACGATGAAACCCAATTTTTACGATTACCCACCACTCTAGCTGCTGCCCAAACGAAAAGTGAATGTAATTACCATCAGATGGGAAGGAACCGCTCTGTATTTATACATTTTACACTCAACCAACTTGTCCTTGGCGCAGTTTTGTAATCACCTGCTGCAATCTAATAAAGAAGACATCGCACATTAGTGCCGCCAAGCTCAGGTGTGCTCCTGGGGACAAAAGTACTTGATCGTGACCTTTATTGGCAGCCACATTCCTTTTCTCATCACTTCATAAAAAATCGGAGCAGCATTGGTCAAAACTTTGATTGTTAGATTTTCTAACAGCTCAAATTTGACAACCTGTCACTACCGATAGGAAGAGTGTTCACTCTAATTTTTCTGCAAAACAATGACGTAATTCTAAAGAGAATATTTCGGAATATTTGTGAAGGCTAAATAGACTGGCAGAAAATATTTAGATGTTCTGCAGTTGTATCTATTAAATCTCATTTCTCCAAAACGGACATAGTCATACTTTAATGTATCTAGCGAAGTTTTCTTCATTAGAGCATAATTCGTAACATATATCCGGCATTTACTAAATTTTGGATTCAGCTTATTCGTTAGCTTCTCGTTGAATTCAAAGTAAACTACTTTAAAAATCGCCGCATAAGAATCAGTTTAAATAAGAGCGTGCCTTTGTTTTAATAATATTGTATCGCTCCCAGATTTCCCTAAAGGTAGAAGAGTATCACCGGCTTTATAGAAAGGATTGAGGTATAGTAGCA